CCCTCAGCCGCGCCTCCGGCCGCACACAGCCCGCGGCGGACGCTTGCGGGGTGCCACTGCAGCAAGCTTTGTTTGTGATGCGTTCCGGCTTGTGGTCTAATTTTAAAGCGAAATGCGGCGCTTTGAGAGCGGAGACCACTTAACAAGTTCTAGGCACCGGAACAACTCGGAGAACACAGCACGGCTGTGGGGACCGTCCTCGGCAGGCGTGGCGGCGGTCACATTGCTTAGGCTGAGCTTGATCCCACTCTTAACCCACAGCCCGCTGCTCTGGTGTTTTGCTTTGCCCTGCTTTCTGACTGGTTCGCTAATACTCTAACCAAAGGCTCTTGCTAAAAGCTGTTTTTGTCTTGCAGTTCCCGTGCAGGTGGGTACGGGTGTCCTTGCTGGAGCAGGGAGGGACGGGAGGGAGCACCTGAGATCCTACTCTCTTTATTCCCCTGTAGCATGAGAGCACTTTTTTAACCCACCCTTAGAAAGAAAGCAACGTCTGTCCTCAGGCACAGACCCTTGGTGCAGCCTCCTAGCAAGCTCTGCTCCCTGAAGAACGCGGGTTGTGGTACTTGCAGGAAAGCAGCGGCTCTCGGGGGCCAAGGGGCGACCGGCCCAGCGCCGGGGTCAGGGTGCCGGCAGCTCTCCGGGTCGCCAGCCCGGTGCTGGAGGGCACTGGCCTCTCCTCCGGCCGCTCCGTGGGCTCGGGGCACCCCGCTGTACCCCGGCCGGGGCTTACGGCAGGTCTGAGCTGCCATCGGGTAAATCCTCCGCAGGGCTCCGGCTTCACAGGGAGCGAGTAACAGAAGCGACCTTGAGTTTGGGAATTTGGCTTCAAAGGAGTTTTACATTGAACTTAACTGCGCTGTCCTCTTGACTGCAATCGCTTTCTTATCAATGAGGATTTGTCAGTCATAGCTGAACCTTCCCTTCCTGGAAGGGCTTTTTGTAGGACAGTGAGAAGACACTTGTAAAACCAGAGCAGAGACGCCCCGTGTCTGCAGGAGCGGCTCAAAGTCCTCCGGCGCGTTTGCTGTGCTGCAGAGGGTACGTGCCTCGTCCTCACAGCCCTGCCCGCGCCGTTCTGCTGCCGAGTTACCAGCAGAGCCGTACAAAGTGCATAACGAATGCTTCGATTAATTTAATAAACGCACTCTCTCTCCTGACTTCTGAATGAATTCTGAGTGACGCTGTCGAGGTGGCCGGGTTGCTGCTGATGAGTTCACGCGTTATCCGTCTTGCCAGCAGACTTCTGCTTTAGCGCTGAGCCAGGCCACCACGGGACAGGGGTTGGGTAACAGGGTGGCGGTTGACTTCCAGAAAGGGCTGTGACGAGGTGGTGATGGTCAAGTTTCACTTTCCCGGCCTCTGGCAGCGCCGTGGGCTGGCCGAGCGGCAGCCGGCGCCTTGTGGCAGATGTCTTCAGATGATGCTTTTCCGTCGGACTCCGCACACGGGTTTCCCCTTACCCAAGTTTTCATCTTGCTCAGTAACTGGTCAGTGGCTGAAAGCAGAAATCTTGTGTGTGTAAGGGAGAGTCTTTGAGTTCAAGTCCCTACTTGCCACATAAGCTGTAAGGAAATAGCATGCTGCAGTCACTGATTACAGCAGTAACATAAATATAGCAATGATCTTTTATTGATTTTTGGTGTTTATGGTTGTTTTTTTTTTCCTTTTGACTTTCCAGGCTGTGAACGAGACTTGTGGCTCTTTGCTGATGAACAGAGTCCTAGAAAAGTATTATCTGTCCACCATGTACAGCCTTGAGTTCATTTTAGGCTTCACTGGAAACACCATTGTTGTCTTTGGTTATATTTTCTGCCTGAAAAAGTGGAAAAGTGGCAACATCTACCTGTTCAATTTATCATTATCAGATTTATTATTTCTGTGTACTCTTCCAATACTCGTCAACAGCTACTCCAGAGATCAGTGGGCAAAGGAGAGCATCTTGTGCCACAGCAACAGATTCCTGTTGCATGCAAACCTGTATAGCAGCATCCTCTTCCTCACCGTTATCAGCATTGACCGGTACATGCTCATAAAATATCCTTTCAGAGAACATATTCTGCAGAAGAGGAAAACGGCCCTTATTGTGTCTGTCGCCTTATGGGTCGGGGTGATACTGGAACTGCTGCCGCTGGTGTATTTCCTGGAGCCTATAACTGCTGCCAATAATTACAAGTGTCTTGATTACGCAAGCTCTGGACACCCTGTGGAAAACTTCATCTACAGCATGTTCCTGACTGCCTTTGGGTTCCTTATCCCTCTTGTGATCATGTGCTGCTTCTATGTGAAGATGGTTGTTTTTCTTAAAAGCAGGAGCGAGCAGCTCAGTTCCCTCCTGACTCTTGAAAAACCCCTTACGTTAGTGGTCCTCACGGTGGTCATCTTCTCGGTGCTCTTTACTCCCTACCACATAATGCGCAACGTCCGGCTCGCTTCCCGGATACCGGCCTTGAACGTCTCGCTGTGCACGCAGGGCGTCATCAACACCGTTTACATCATCACGAGACCCATTGCCTTTTTAAACAGTGCCGTTAATCCTGTTTTTTATTTCTTAATGGGCGACCACTTCAGAGAGATGCTGATGGCAAAACTAAGGCAGCTCTTGAGCAGGTTGACAGCCCCTGGCAAGTGAACGAGTCAGGACACCTCTCACCGTGGGAGACGTGTTCACTCACGTCCAGTGCCTTTTTTTTAGATAACTTTATTTATGAGATATAGAATATGCGTGAGCTGATTGGATTCCTCTAAATGCACTTGTTCCCTTATTGTACAGGAGACCTCCTCCTGCTCTGGACTCCAGCAGAGCAGGAGCGATGTTCTCTCGCAGCAGTACGGCAGGCAGCCCTGCCCTTGTAGCAGGGTAAGTCATGGCCTATTGACGCTGTAAATAAAGGATCATCACAGTAGTTCTCTGAGGGAAAATTCGCTTCTCTGACAGCTGCTTTGTAACTCGATGCTGGACTGGACCGAGGCTTGGGTAAAATGTGCTGGGGCACTAATTCACATGTTCAACACGGTCCGGGGATCCAGGCTGACTGTTTTCGTGTTTGCAAACTCCGCATCTCCTGGGCGCTTTACCTTTCAGAATAAGTAACTGGGACAATTTACATTTCCAGCTGACTTGGCGAGCGCTGGCACCTCGGATGTGGCCAAGAAGGTGGTTATGCAAAGGCCAGGGTGGGACGCGGCGCTGGCCTTGCAGAAGGGAGGCGGAGGCCACGCTGCTGTTCTTGCAGAAAGCTGTAACGTTTGGCTGCATTTCTTGGGAGCACCGAGACGGTAAAGGCCTGTGTCTGTGTGTGCAGACAGGTTCTTTGATATTAAAGCTGGATTCAGCCTGCCGAAGTAAAAATAAGAAGATCTAATGTTTTAGTTCTTAACTGAGATTCGCCTTCATACATCACTGGGACAGCTGTGCGCTTTCACACTGTCACTTCTCAAAGTATAGATTTACTTGCCTCTAATGTGATCATCATCAGAAGCAGGAGCCCTTGCGGAGCCAGTGCTCTGCCGAACCTCCCCCCAGACTGTTGCTGCAGCAGAACTCACTCTCCCATTGACTGACCTGACTCCAAATCTAAAAGGCAAAGAGATCAATGAAGCAATATTGTACCAATAAGCTGGGGAAGGAGAGGGCTGGGGCGTGCTGAGCAGTCTGGGCTTAAATGTTTCACTGATACCTGCCTGCCTCGTTATAATAAACTGCATCCTGTGTAAAAACGCAAACGGCAGTGCCTCCTTTGTGTCCTTCGGGTTTATGTGCTGTTTAATGTCCATGAAGCCATCCATCTGCCCTTTCCCTGTTACAGCAGTATAAGCTCTGTGAGCAAAAGCACTCGCTTGGCTATTTGAGGGATGAAGTAGCTGCTTTCCCCTGCAAGTATCTCGCACGAAGCCTCGTGCCAGCCTTCCTCTGGGGTGGCCCCAACGCGCTGGGTGCTCGGGGATCCCCCTGAGCTCAGGGTGATGCTGCGGGGGGAATTTGGTGTCCCATCACAGGAGTGTCTCCAGCAGCGCTCCCCGAGAAGTTTTCTGGGGGCGGAGGGGGCTGGTGTGTCCCCCCAGAGATGCTCATGATTCTGCTCTTTGCTCATCTCAGGGCGGGGGGGGCGTGCAGGGAGTGCTAACCAGAGTTTGGCCTGTAAAATGTGTGTAAATCCGTATTTCCTTCTCTACTTGCTTTGTAACAAATCTGTACACGTAAATTGCTAAATCACTCTGTCGGTGGTGGAAAAAAGATCTGTCATGCATGTTATGGCCTGGGACTGATAAGGCTGCACTCGAGTTTTTGTAATAAATACCTCCTGGTTTTTAAGAGCCGTTGTCTGCGGCACCAAGAGGTGATAATCCAGCTGGGTGTGACGCCGTGCGTGTTCAGCCCCGCACAAATGAAGGTAAGAGATTTGCCAAAAGTGAGTCGAATATTCTCTTTTTAATGTTGAAGTCTAACACATTCATGAGGATTTTTCTGCTAGGGAAAGTGCTATATAGCAATAAATATTACGCTGAAACATCTCTAATAGACTCACCTTTGCCTTTTGCAGTGGACAGAACAGGACTTCTCACAGAAATGTTTGTTTTCTAAGACTGTAGCTGTTTGGGGCTTTCCTGTATCTGCTCAGGTGGCGTCTTTCTTGTGAATGGGCTAATGTGAGGCACAACAGTTGATGGCTCTTGGTTTTTTAAATAAGTGCATAGCCCCATGCAGAGGTGGAAAGGCCGTGTACGCTGCGTCTGGACGTGCTGTTTGTGTTTAATTTTTTTCTGGCATTAGAGATTTGTGGTTGTCAGCTCCTACTTCTGACTATCTGTATTTGCTTTCACTGCTGCCATCAAGCTTGGGCTTGAGAGAGACAGTGTGCAAAGAGAAGTTTTGTGTTTTCAACGCGAACCCACTTGCTGTTTAGCCTGATTTCTTACGTGTGCCTCACGTAGGTATCTGCCAAACCAACTGCGATGACTGTCGCTCCATGACACAACTCGCTGCGCCTCCGGTCACAGATCCCCAGAACCATCCAGGTTGGAAAAGCCCCCGCAGCTCCTCCAGCCCCACCATGACCCTCCCCCTGACTGTTCCCAACTCCCCCAGACCCCTCAGCGCTGGCTCAGCCCGACTCTTCAACCCCCCCAGGGATCCCGGGGACTCCCCCCTGCCCTGGGCAGCCCATTCCAACGCCCAGCAGCCCCTTCTGCACAGAAATCCTTCCTCAGAGCCAGCCTGACCCTGCCCTGGGCAGCTTGAGGCCATTCCCTCGGGGCCTGGCGCTGGGGCCTTGGCTCCAGAGACTCATCCCCCCTCTCTGCCCCCTCCTGGCAGGGAGTTGCCGAGGGCCAGGAGGTCTCCCCTCAGCCTCCTCTTCTCCAGACTGAACCCCCCCAGTTCCCCCAGCCGCTCCCCTCCCAGCGTTAGCCCCGAGATCAGTGTAGTCAAGCCGTGACTATTGCTAAGGCTGGGGTATCTCGCTTTGCCACCCATGCAGCCTTCACGGGGCCCCCACCCCAGGCCCGTGGGGGCGATGCCTGCAGTCCGCCACGTGCCCTTTCTTCTCGGCAGCAGCGTTTCTGGTGCTTGCCCTCAGCTACGCAAAGAGCTTTCTTCAGACTTTGATGTCATGGGGCGGTTTTGTGATGCCGGCCATCGCTTTTTTCCCCTACGTGAGGGCTGTACGTGCTGGGGGGCGGGAGGGCAGCACCCCCCGGTTGTGCAAGCGCGGGTTGAGCATCCCCACCTCGGCGGCGGGGCAGGAAGGAAGGAGAAGGCAGAAGAGAAATAAACTTCCGCCTGTCAGCTCCTGAGCAGAAACCGCTTGTGCAGCAACACTCAGAGAGCTGCCAGCTCGGCCTCCCCCCGCAGCTGAGCAGGCTGGAGGGCAGATGGAGACCAGCAGCTTCCCCAGGAGCATCTGCGTTGGTAATTGGAAAGTATCTAATTAGGCCTGTATGAATGTGAAATGGTGAACCACAGCCTACTTCTAACGGTGTTAGAAAACACGTCTCTGCCCCTTCGGAGAGCCTGTGGGGCAGCAAGGCTTGGCTGGGGGGCACCGCAGCCCCTCGGCCCAGCCCTGCCGGGGGTCACAGGGTGCCCCGAGGCAGGCACAGCCACTGCCCCCGAGACACGGGGACGGGGTCCGTCAGGGCCTTATCAAAGCAAGGTCTGGTTTTCCTGTCAGCACACGGTGTCAGAAACCCTGTTACTGCCAGGGAAGTGACTCTGGGCTCCTCCTATAAACCAGGCACAAACTTAGGGTTTGGCTTTTGGGCATTTTCGAGGAAAATAGTTTTGCAGAAGTTCAAGTTGCTTTGGCACATGGAAGGTCCGGGTTCAGATGTTCTCCTCAAGGCTGGAAGAGAAGGCACTGCCAGCCCAACACCATCCAGGCGTCGCTGCCGGGGTCCTGCCCAGGCTGGTCCAAGCCCCGGGGCAGGGCCGGAGCTGTGGGCACGCAGGTGCTGCTGCCCTCTCCCCACCAGAGATGTCTCTGGACAGCACGTGGCATCCCGTGTCCAGGTAATCGATGGCCAGGAGATGATTTTTCTCTGTAAACAAAGTGTAGTGACAGTCCTTATGGATTAATACATTCAGTTATTTGCTTTGCCGTGTCCACCGAGGTGAGCAGGGTCGTCTACTCCTTGTTAAATGCACCGGGTCACTAAGGATACCTCCCTCTGTACACACCAGTGCTGCGTTTACCCACCCGGCTGTTCCCCGTTGGCTTGGTACCCAGCAGGTAATCATCATCGCTAAATATATGCTCCTTCTGTTAATACATACTATATATGCATCAGAAAAAAGGTGCAGAGTTAGAAACTGCTGCCTGCGCATCTGAGAGCCCAGCACCACTTAGAACTCCCATACTTTATGACAACTGTTTTTTAAAATAGTAATGCTATTATCTCTCTAGTATGTGTACTGATCTTGCCATGGCACGTGACAAGAGGCTAGCTAGTTAGAAAACTGGTTATTAATTCATTTAGCTGGAATTCTGAAGGACTGCAATAGCCCTAACTTGAGCAGGAACAGGCTGGCAGCTGCTAAGCTCTTCTTTGTTTCTATGCAATTAAACTGCAAGAAGAATACTCAAAGGTCACATGAATGATTTCTCACGAAGTGGCAGCATCATGCTGCTGGCAGGGACACAGGGACAGGCACTGCTGCTCCAGCGCGGGGTCTGAGGGCCGGGGGTGAGCAGCCTGGGCTCAGCCCATTGCCCCTCTGGACCCAGGTCCTGCAGCCCAACCCAGAACCTACTTCTGGTTCCCACAAAGAGCAGGATTTGGAGCTACAGAATAAGAAACTAAAAATATTCGCATGCCCTGACTAAGCAAACAACACCCCGAGCACTCACCTCCTTCCCAGAGGAGGACAAGCCCTGAGCTGGAACCTTCTCCTGCCACACTCGGCATCTTCCCGTGCGCGGCTGCTTTGCCAGGACTTGAGCCGGGCTTTGCCAGGGCTTGAGCTGGGCTCTGCTGTTCACAGCACCCCAGGCAGACCTGGCACAGGTAACCTCCTGTCCAGCTGCCAGGCCGGTGTCTCAGCTCTAACAGAGTCAGCAGCAGGTAATCTTTGCCTTCACAGTGTGCTGAAATCTCTGAAACCGTTCCGAGGCTCAGGATTATAAATCCCAATGCTCTGGACAACCTTCGTCTTCCGCAGCACTGCCTCTTGCACAGGTTTGCAGCACTTACAGATCCAGGCTGTACATAAAACCAACATCTGAGATTTCTCATGGCAGACATTATTTCCTATTTTACATATTTTTGCCAAAATTCCATACTGGTGACTGTTGGTTTGTGTCTCATATTGTTATTTTCAATGTTTCATTCTTTTTAATGTCTTCACTGCAGATGCTGTACTCCAGCAGTTCCACTTAGGGGCCACCTAAGGTGCAGGAAAAGGAACTTACATTTTGTTGAGCATTTATTCTAAGACCAGCTGTTGTTTAATCCCAGGAGATATTTTCTATTTAATAAGATAAAAGTACGGAGTATCACAGGATCATCGGACCATTTGGGTTGGAAGGGACCCCAGGGGATCATCTAATCCCACCTCCTGCTCAAGGCGGACAGCTGTGAGGTCAGACCGGTGTATCCACAGAGGGTGTGACCAGCAAGTCTGATTTCACTCTGTGAACAATTAAATATCAAACAGGTATAAAGATATATAGCCAAAATAAAGGTCTGTGTTATCTACATAATTAAGTTGTAGAACCGTTCTGTTCAGAATAGAATACAGGGGATGATAAGTGTCGAGGATACAGACCAGTTCCCTCTAGAAGGCAGATTTAGCAGCGGACGTTTGTGCTGTATCCATCGCGCGCGTTAGAAAACGTGGGAGTGGGGGAGAGATGGCAACGATCGTCTCGGACTGCAGGTAGAAGGTAAAGCCACGCAGTAAGAAACCTCTTGCACAAGCGCCAAAGCTCAGAGCTTTGCCCTTGCCTTTGACCTAGCC